TTGGCCTCCTGTTCTAACCTGACAATGAATAGATTCACTTGCAACGACTCTGTATGATATTTATTTAGTAAGCGAATATATCGATTCTCTCTCTAAATTGTTTTACCAACGAAACCCATAGTGTTACTAATCAAATATTCATTAATCTAGCATACCTCTATTTAGTTTGGTACTCCTTGGAAACGATTTTGAATAGTACAGGTTGTGAGTGTCATCATGTTTTTTATCACTTTTATCTATTCGATGGGAAAGTAGTTATATGAATATTTGGATGAAAACAAGATGCACACACGTACCTTTTTCGACCAAGTCAAGAAAAAAGAACGTACAGGAGAAGAAAACTTGAGACAATCGAACAGAAAGTTCTAGAATGAAAAGAAGAAAGATTTGTTCAGGAAGTTATGTAACAAGAGAGCTGTATTACCACGGAATTCACTATCACTCAATGGCGTAATGAGTCAAAGTGGGACGTGAGTGTGGACCTTTTTTTTCAGCCACGCACATTCCAAGCATACCAAGACGATAAATGATCGTGATGTTAAAAGAAAAATATAGTTACACAAGTAAAATCTATTTTAAATAGTTGAGTTTCGACTAGGTGTTGATATTTAATTCTTTAAAAGCTCGTCTTTCGTTCATTTGCATATTTTACACTGAAGTTCTTGTTTGTAGTATAATTTGGATTCTCATATTTGAACTCAAAATATGCAACCCATGTTTGTAAGAGATCAGGTATTTTGCGTTGCATTGTAATCAACAAGAACTTTAAAAAAAACAACAAACGAAAACTTTTAAGTGGGAAGCTCAAATAAGAAAAACGTATGTTACTACCTAAGTATTTTGTGTAGCCTTTTTTCTCTGCTCCAATAACTACATCAATTTATAAAAAAAACAAAAAAAAAAGAAAACTTAAGTTACTCCGCGGCGGGGAATCGAACCCCGGTTTCCCGCGTGACAGGCGGGGATACTAACCACTATACTACCGCGGACATTCTTTTTTCTCATGAACTGAACTACACAATACAAACTTCGTTCATCAATAAAGTAATCAAATTTCAACATTCAAGCGAAATGAAAGAAGGATTCTGATAGAATATGCTTATTATGATTTGGATGAGAGAAAAACATTCTCCTTTATAAACATGCAAAGGAAAGGAATAAAAACCTCGCACAAATAATCATTTATGTGACAGCTGACTGTTTGTTTTTTGCTGTTCTGCATGCAAACAGATATTGCATCAGAATAAAAATATAACAACTTCGCAGCAGGGAATCGAACCCTGCTCTTCGGTTCGACAAACCGATATACTCACACCATTATACTACTGCAGACAGTTATTTCGTTGGATTAATGCCTGTATTCTTACATTAATACAATAACAATCATTTTCCAGCAGCAAAATTTTCTCAAACAGTATCAATATTAAAGTTCCTATTGACGTAAAAGCCTATTTAAAACATCTTATAATCTTTGTTAGAATTGTCAATCCTGCTCAAGTAGATGATGTATAGATACTCCAAACTAATCAAATTCTCATATTCTTTGTAAGGGCGTGGATGTGAATTTGTGTCTTTTCTCTTGGCAATAGTAAAAGATCAATCTCTGCTAAATTATAGTAGCAAAACGTTGGCGATAATATGATGGCAAGCAACACAAAAAGTGTGTGGATGAAGGTAAAACCCGCATCTACACCCACACCCACACCATATTGAACTTAAATGATCATCTCAATAAATAGGATTTTTTCCTCTTGTTGATGAACTTTTCGAAATTATTCTTTAACGATTTAATCTTCAAAGTAACTATTTGTGAATCGAATGCCATAGATTTCAAAAATGTTAGATTATTTAGCAGAGTTTATTCCATTTAATATATTATTTCGAGCAACACATAAATCTAGAGTTTGTATACTTATGTTAGTCTCTTTTTTCACTTTTCTTGTGATTTGGTATGAGGTGACGGGCTCATCAATCTTTTTTTTATTCCATTACCTTATCTCAGATTATAGTCTACTCCCGTACATAATACTTCAGTTTATCAAATAATTATTTTATTAGATCAAGCACAATATAGTGAAAAGATCTTATTATGATAAAAATTTATATTTTAATGTTAAATCTTGATAAAAAACAAGATTAATCTTTATAAAATTTCATCAGTCACTTAGCATTTTGTTTTACTCATTCAACAATATATAAGTGACATGGTTGCTTATATTGCATTCATACGTTCTAAAGCGTCTTTGTTTTCTACATAACATCTCGATGATTTGGTATTCAAAGATACGTCAAGATTGAACTGCTTAGAAACGAATAGATCGGGATCAAGTCAGCTAGCAGCGATTGGCTTTCAATACCTCGTCATTTCATGCTTCAAAAAGGAGGAGAAAACATAAGATTGTTACCTAATTTAATTTAATTCAAAAGTAACAACTATTCATTTTTTTATGAAAAGCAATAAGAAAGATGAAAATTGGGTGTGAGTGTGACTCTTCACTTCACTTCAATTCACACCCAAACCCCATTTGCAACCACCCATACCCACACACGAAATGGAAAAGAAGGAAACGAGAAGAAGTAAAGAAAACTATGTTATGCACTGCACTCTGCGTATCGACCTTGAATAACGAAGTCGAGAGTATTAAATAAGACTCGACAGATTTTATTCCTTAACATTTTTCGTTGTTTGTTATGCCATCCATTCATTAACTAGATGTTCTATCATGACCATGTGCGCATCAATTACTTAATAGATGGAAATCTTCATTACATTCGTATGTGGCTGATGAAAGCAGACTCCTGAGCGCCTCCTTAGATAAAGTCGAAAAGTATTTTGATAATTATATCGATATTGTCCTTTTTGGAGTTTATTGGATCGGTTGTAGCTTCGAAATTTACTCTTATGTCATTTCGCAAGATTAGTGTTTTTCTGCCTTCTGATAGCATCTTGTAGAGATATTGTTACTCTAATTTAATTATTCTTAGGAAAAATTTTATTAAAATAACTTGAAAGGCAACAGACATATGATTGTCTCTATGCTTTGATATTATATGTGCTGTACGTATAGAATTTAGTGTTCTTCATTGAAATCTAATTCTTGCTTCATGTTGATTAAGTAGAAAGTTGGTTGGTATTCTTCTTCTTGATATTATTAGCCACCTAAAATAAAGTGAAAATATGTACTGTCATGTTTAATAGTAAACACAAAGAATAAATATGATATAACCGCATACGAAGTTCTTTAAAAGCTCTAGAGGGTGCCCAAGAAGTCACTACTCAAAACAATGAAGTATCTGTGTGAAATTCGGACAAAATAATTTCAATCTATTAGTACTGATAGAGTAGTGTATATATATCATATTGATACAAAAAGTATCAGAACTGACTTGGCTATACAAAAACAGCCCTTCACGAGTAATGGAAAAATACTGTATTTGTCCTCTCAAACAAAGGTTTTGAAAAACCTGTCATATTTTCGATGAAACCTCCATGCATTAATATGGTTTAGTCTTCAGTTTAAGCTACAGATACAACTCCCTGGTCATAATAAACTAAATACTATATGTTTTCAAGTATTTCTTGCTACTATTGTTGGTGCGGTTCATATATATATATAATATATCATAGATAGATGTTCAACTACTCAAATCACCTTGAAAGTTTTAGTACAATTGAGTGGGGACTTGTCGTGAAAATTATAAATATGTTTGATGTACTCATGTACCACTGGAACCAAAGCGTAATGATTAATTTATTTTTCTGTCATTTTAAATTTCATTTTAAATTTCAAGTGATAGTTAGTTGACTAGTATCTTCGACTTTAGAAAGAAATATCTTAAGATGCCTCCTTCTGTAGTCGAGTATATTATGTAATCAACGATCACTTGAGATTCCAAATGGAATTTAAAATGATAGGCAAAATCAAATTCTGAGATCCTGAAGTCAATTATTTTCTGTCTGTCACTCAGTGTTTTTGAGGTAGGCTGGAGAGCAGAAGGAAACAGTGGTTTAATTTTCTCGCCATATAATTACAAATTCCTCAACAATCACATTGCCTAATAACAGGTTTCAACGTTCTGGACGTTATTGCGATTTGTCAGTTTTCAACTGCTGAAGTTTTTCCGGCTATCAGACTATAAAGAATTAATTGAACTTAGTATTCATATAATTCAAATGAAATTGGAAAGTCTAGAGTATGCTCTGTTGTGCTTTACAAGTTCAAAATTCGTTTTTGAGTTTTACATTTAGCCTCGCCTGAGACTACACTGTCAAGCTTTTTGTATTCAAATGTACTTACTCATAGTACAGTTCGTTGTTGGTAATTGGATCATAAATTTTTGTATTCTGTGATTGGCTTGATCACTAATGTATAAATTTCCCGATGCATCAAATTTTAGATCTCGTGGAGTATGTAACTGATTTACAGCTACTCCTGACACCCCTGTGCAACCAACGACACAAATACCACCTGCAGTATAGTTTGTAGTCCATTTCATAATACGCGAGTTCCCACCATCTGCCACATATATATACCTATTAAGTACATAGTACTTTTCAAGAATTTATTTCTACAACTAGCAGTTGTAATGGCAATATTCATTTATTGATTGTGTTTAACAATCTATCTCTCAACTTTAATCAGTTGAGCCTTTGATCTAAGCAAGAATGCGAGTCGATTTCATTATATTATCTTATTGAATATATTCCCTATACTAAGAAGTATAGAGTCTGTAGAATGGCAATCAATCTATTTTGTCTGTCTGAAATATTATTTTTAAAACGATTGTTTAGCTGATTCTGAATGGTTATTTTCATTTGTCCGACTGTTAGAAATCTTATTTTTGTCGGTTTTTGAAGTTTTTTAACTTCTGATTGCTAGACTGTGAATGGATTTACATTTTATTCTAACTTCTTGCGTTTCGATTAGTGTAATTTTTTCTTCATATTTTCGAATTTTAAATAGACTAGTAGTCGTAAAATCAAAAAGATCTTTAATTATTCAGTCTAGAAATAAGTGAACTGGTACATGATGAACATTGCCGGTGCTAGTGCAGGCTTTGCATTAAGAGTTTATGAAGCAAAACGGTAAGTGATCTATCTTTCTAACATACCCATTATTGTCGACAATAATAGAATATGGATTTCTCAATTGCGATGAATTGGAACCAGGTGAACCAGTAATACCGGCTACGGTAATTCCAGTTGTTGCACCAGCGGGCCACATTTGCACACGATGATTTCCAGCATCGGCTATGTACAATGCTCCATTACCATCTATAAAATTGCCATATGGAGCTGATAACTGGTTGGCTCCTGAGCCTGTTCCGTTAGTCGGTGCAAGAACTACGCCAATGCTATTGTATGGATAATACTTCACTACTTGACTATGATCTGAATCAGTAATGTATATGTTGTTATTAACATCGATATGCAAATCTCGAACTTGACCAAGAAGATTTACTGAACTATTACTCGCCAATGTAATCCCAATCATAGAACCAGAAACAAATTGTTGAATTCGATAGTTTGAACTGTCTGCAACAATTACAGAGCCGTACTGATCGACCGCAACGCCTTTTGGTGAATTCAACTGAGTTGAAGAATTGCCTGCAGTAAGATTCCCAGCAACGACAATTCCAATCGTTGCATTAGCATAGTATTTCATAATTCGATTGTTATCTCGATCAGTAACATAGAGCACGTAGTTGTTATCAACAAAGATGCTAACAGGACTATAAATGGATGATAAATCGGAGCCATATGTTCCATTCTGGTTTCCTGCTACTGTAATTCCTGTTTGGTTCCAAGTAGCACATGTTGGAATCGTCAATGCATAAATGCCAGATGGAATGACTAAATACAAACAAAGACAAACAGTGATTATCGGGTAAATAGATGGAAGATGCTACAAGTAATTGTGCTCATTGTCGTAGTGCTTGTAGTAGTCGTTGCTGTAGTGGCAGTTGTCGTTGTGGCGGTTGTGGCTGTAGTTGTCATTTTCGTGATCGTCGTTGTTGCTGCTGCAAAAAGGATGTTTAAATGAAATGGTTATATACCATGTATATGATTATATAATAATCTGAGTAGGAAATCTATATAAAAAGCTAATAAACTCAATCAATGAAATATTGGGCAGTATTTTTATTATGATAGAAGTAACATATTCATCGAAACTCAGTAATTTTCATTCAAAATTGGTTTTATAAGTGTTTTTATTTAAATGTATATGTAAGAAACTCTGATGATAATTGTATCTTTTGAGACAGAAGTCAATAAAGACTCTTAACTATTATGTACCATCATGCGAATTGTACGCACAAAGCCCCTAGCAGCAACTAGTTTTATCATACATTCAAGACTAAGGACTGCTAGGAAAAATAAATATTGAATTCAAATTGATATTAATTCTACTGAAAGAACGAGCAATATTTCCTGCCTAACAACACATCAAGTTGCATTGGTATTGAGCTGGTGTTATTTAATGATCTAGTTTTTGATATATCCTTCAATAGAATCTTACTAGAATCTTAGTATCAGCAAACGGTCAGATAATCTTCGTTAAACTTTCTCGCATCTCAATGTCTTTCATGGCTCGTTCAATAGCAGACTCGTTGCATGAGATGATGCACAACACAATTTATTGGTGTTAGGGTGTGGACATCCTCTTCACCCAAACTCATGCAGCCAAAGCTAAACGTTCATACCTCAAAATGCCACGTTCGAAGTTTTTTTGCCATAAGTATAATCAAAGCTTGAGCTCAACGTTCTTTCATTGTAATCTCTTCTTAGAGCAGATTTCATGATGACAAACGGGCTACTATTGTAATCAGCGCTATTCAACCAATATTTTGCACTTACTTATGGTTTTCGTAGAAACTGTGAGAACAATTGAAATCGCAATCGCTACAACTGCTCCAGCAATTAGTAGGATTAAAAGAAAGCCGATCACTAATCTTCGCAACGTTGAATTTTGGCTGATTCTAGACAAAACCAAAACATAAATTTATCAAATATGACAACAAATCTTTATATATCATGAATGAAACCAACTGATCATTGAGTCCATTGTCTGCGTGGAAAGAGACATCCTTCACTTGGTTCAAATCAACTGTTACGTCTCTCACTGATGTATCAGAAGGCGCGTAACTCTAAATAAAAAATTAATCAGTCACTGGAGATAAGAATTGTAGTTACGTCAATAGAAGATGTGAGGGCAGTCAGTGAGTAAATGGACTAGAGTGCAGCATAGCAACTCTCACTATTTACTAGTATCCTCATCAAAAATTCTTACTTTGTATCATTGAGACTCAAAGTGAAGATGTGGTAAGGGTCTATTGGGTCTGAGATATAGACTGACGTAGGAGATCTAATTTTTCCACTAAACACTTTAACACTAGCATACATCGTGTTTTGTAATGTTTTTACCATGGTAACTTTTCATAACTCACAGTTAACTCTTTACTACTCGTCCCTACTAAAGTAGTTTGCAGGTAACTACTGATGAAACAACCATTGGTATAGAGTATAAGTGTTAAGAATATGAAAATACTATGAACCAATCAATCAAACCTAGTGTCATTTTTAGACAGTGTTTTGGTGACTCAAGTGATTGTTTGCCATCTCGGCATTTGTGACACATTCAATTCTTTCTACTGACATATGGTCTATTCTTTTAAAAATTACAATGAAATCCTTTAGAAAAACTCATCGAAAAATAATTGCTTTTTTTCCAATGAGCCAGCATAAACGATTCTCTCTTGTATTGAAAAGCACATATTCGACCAAAATTTCGTCATCTTTCTTAATGTTAATGGCTAGGTGATGAGCGATCATCTAGTTATCGAATGAAAATAATCAGTTCGTCAGACTGCACTAAATGAAGTGGCCCAATAGTAGGTTTACCGACGGAAAACATGAATACCTTTGCCATGCTTCTACCAAAGCTACTAATTTTCTTGCCTGCAATATCAGACTGTTCAAAATTCATATTCATAAGAAAGTCGTCCACAAGAAAATCTTTTGCAGCATCAATTTTTATTATTCAAAAATCGTGCAAAGTTATGGTTTCCGTTGGAATCACAAATTGATACTTCTTACCAATGATTTGCTTTATGAATATGAGCTCTAAACATTGTTATATTAGTGGTGAAAAATTTAGCTGATTTGATAGAAGGGTAGTGGAAACATTTACATTCTTTCTCCATAAAGCTACTTTAGAGTCACTTCATATTGCCAACTCTACTTTGAAAAGCACGATCCTCAATTATTTTTCATTGTTCCGCTTCAGTTATCGTCATAGGAGTTTTGTATTTTTGTGGTGCTACCTACACTTCTTGAAAAACTTTTCAACATGCCATAGTTTCTCTGATTATTCAATTGATAATCATCCTTTTGCACGTGACTTATCGAAACGACATGACTGCATTCAATATCGAACTTCGGCTGTTCTATGGAAATTCGTCACAAGTTGAGGGGATGGCGTGTTAGTGTTCATAATACCATTCTGTTTAAATCTTAGATCAGATCGCTGGGATAAAATTGAGTACAAATTATTAACTATTTAAAAGACTTTCAAGACTTAAATACGTACTTCAAAGATTGTGAAATAGAGAAACAAACGTTTATACACGACTTGTAAAACCGAAGCATTGCTTTTTCTTACATTCGAAGGCGTCTACATATATCTTATAACAAACGTCAGAAATCATTTGCATTAGTCTCCTAGAATCCTATAAACTCCTTTTGTTATTGACTTCATTTTAGATTAGATCACCAGAGAGAACTCCATGTCTATTACATCACGAGATTTTAATGATTTAAAGGGATCGATCACTAAGGATGCAAGTTGTGTGGCTCGAGAACGGTATAGTGAATATTTTGGAATATCGTCAATCAAATTCCGACTAAGCAGATTGACGATTTTTTCTTATAAATTACTAAAGATCTTCATTGTGATTTTAAAAGCATTACTAGAAAGAACAACAAGCATCCTGTTAGGTATCTCGTTTTATCATTTTCAATTAACATACCATGCTTTCCTGGAGAAGAACATAGCAACGAGGTAAAAACGGAGTAGCAGCTTGCGTACTAGTGGGCATAATCCAACAGTGTGTCTAGTGAGCTAATGCAGAAAAAAAATGAATTCTATTTTGCTTGTAAAGTCAAATCTTGTGTTGATTTTATAAGTGACAAATGGATTGTCGAGCGCGCGCTTCACTTATTGCTCGTTGCTTTCTCTGTCTTAATGGAAAAATGCTGTGCTTGTGCATGTTTTTGTTTACTCGTTAAATTTTTAATCCAACAGCAATCGTTAATTGTATTTACATGTAACTGTATGAAGCGTGGATTACTGTTACATATAATACTTTTAATGAATCAACAATACCTGAGAGTGTCTGGCTCAACTCATAAGAATCCCAGTTGTTAGCAGCGCTCGATGTTTACAAATTGCTTCATACTAGATGATTATATCGATGGTGTATATTAGTAAACTCAGTTGGACTGTTATTCTTTGAAGAATAACACATTTTAATCGAGGTTTGAGCAGATTTAGAATAGCAATCAGCCTCGTAGTCGGTGTACGGGTTTTTTAACGCACATATAAAGAGAATTTTTCAGCACTACTGAATCATTTCAGTTCATTTTTTCTTCGACATGGGCATAGCATCAATACCAAGTACAATACTGAACGCAGTACTGTTCAGTATTAGAGCGAAACACTTGCTGCTCTACGGACACTTCGTATATCACATCGTTATAATTACTTAACCGATGTACTAATTAGTTTTTTCACTAATTGAACATTTAATTGAGTCCATCTTTCTATTGCCTAACTAAAGTTTATATATTAAGATTATTCGATCGATTTACTAAACGCTTGTTATGTTTGACTTATGACCTACAACATTAAGGAACTGATTTCACCAATCATCGAATAATTATCATCGTGCCTAAATTACTGAAGCGTGATAGCGTATGCATCACGGGAAAAAAGCTAGAACTATTTTCTATCTTTCTTAAGGGTTAAATCAGCTAGCTTATTTCGAAGGGCGACAATATTTCTTCGAAGATGAAATCAATAAGCTCAAAGCAAGCAGACCTTTCTCAAGGCTCTCATTAATTAGCTTCAGCTCTGAAATAATTCATTAAATTAGGCTTTAAAAGATGATAAAGAATCCTTTCAAGATGAAATAAAAAAGCTAAAAGTAATCCGAGATTTGTTTTGACCACAATATGCATATCATGGAGCGTAAGCTGCGCCTAGTTTGTACCTTTCTCAAATGTCTCACCAAGTAGCTTTTGTCATACATTAACATATTAGATTCGACTTGGAAAGAAAACAAAAATTTCTTTCAAGGCGGGTGTGGGTACGGGGTGTGGAGTCCCAGGTAAGCAAAAAAAAATAGTTATTATGTCGTCCAAGATTAGTCTAAAGTGCTCATACGATCTGTCAGGTCTAGTCTGAGATATCTTGCACATTCATTACGATCAGACATCTTTTCGAGAAACGTACTTCAACTACGTTTGAGTTAGTGCAAAACATCTTTGCATCAGCCATGTCTAGCCCATCTTGTGTGTCCATTCTGTCAAGACTAATCGGAGAAACAGAAAAACGACAGAAAAATGAGACGAACTGTGGATACCAAGATTCGATCAGATGTTACG